GGCTTACATGATGTGGCTTATATGGATAACACCTAATGTAATAGCTCACTAATTGAATGCTTCCGAAGATCAATAGAGCTAAGCGATCGATAATCTTTAGAAGCATTTTATTGATTTGGATTATTTTAATCCCAAAAACTATTCTAAAAAGTTGATTAAGGATACTAGAATTTTTTTATTTCCACATGTATATTGCTTTAAGACTTTTTTTGTTGTGTTGACTGTACAAAAGTGCAAGTCAAAGATATTTTTATGTTAGATATAATTTACTGACATGATACTATTGATACAAACTTCATTGTCTTTAAAGCTTTTTATAAAATTTCTCTGAACCTTACTAAGAATATCGTTGGCATGGGTTCCAAGGTATTCAGGATTATTTGTTATGCATGCCATTAATGAATTTCCTCTGGTACTTTGATAGGTCTTTCTTTAAGAAGGCTGCTGTGAGCGGGCGAGCAGTTTTTCACGAAAGATTCAGAGAAACTTTTATTAAGTATCACGCTGTGAAGCGCGCCACTTTTCGGGTTTTGTGAAAACCAAAATCGTTTGATTTTTGAAAACGGAGTCGCCACCCGATTCAGCTCGATTGGAAAATTAAAAACAAAAAGAGAAACGGGTTCGGGACGAATCACTTATTAACTTGGAAATAGGATTTTTGAATCAAACACAAAGCCTAAGTTCATTTCAATTAATTTAAACATGCAATAGATAAATAATTTTCAAAGTTTACATCACCTCACAACAAACTACCCTATGGAGATACATTTGATTAAAAATGGGAAATCGGGATACAATCGCCTAGAATACACGATTTGGATCTATATGCAATGACAATAATAATATTGAAAGCGTAAATAAATAAAAATGTCAATTCATATGACCTAACTAAAATTCCTACAAAATAGAAATTAGTTAATAACCACAAATATGGTAATTTCAAGGTTCGATCAACCTTGAAACCACTCTCACAAACACGGGTAAAAACATGGCAATTCGAGTTTTATTTATAAAAATTAAATTGGTTCGATTTTATATATATAACAATAATATGGTGAGTCGGTTATCCCGAGGTAAATTGGTACCTCGTTCGTGGGGGAACCTAAACATACATTCTAAGTCTTTTTGATAAACATAAACATATTAATAAATTAAATGATAATTAATTAAATGATGACATGAATAATAACATAAATAATTAAACCGATTCGGGTCATAATTCCTATTCAAGCCACTTTATATTAGTTCGGGGCCTAAATAATTTAGATTTTATAACCACTAATGTGATTAAGGCCCGATTTACAAAATGGTTAACATCCTTGGATTTGCCATGTTGGGATTTTCCACATTTAGTTTGATTGGGTTTTTGTTTTTGAAAAGAGATAAAAAAATAGTTATATGAATAACTTAAATAAAATAAAGATAAAAAAAAAGTGAAAATATGAATAATCACTTAAAAGAAATTCTATTTGGACACTTTTCAATTCCTATGATCCAAAATAATATTTGTGACCAATCCTTGGAAACCCAAATCATTGGATAAAACATTTATAAAATAAATGTACATATGTATATAATATTTATAAAATAAAACAAATATATGTATATAACATATATAAAATTAAAGTGATTATGTAAATAATCAAAGAAAGTGTAAAAGGTTCCTATTTAATTTATTTAGGAATTTTTAGGGTTCTAAATGTTTAGAACCAACCTAAATAATATTAAATTCATGGGAACAAAATAAACAAAATCATTATTTAAGATATGAATCAAAAATAAATAAAAAGGGATTTTTATTAAGAGTTCCTATTTAGATTAGTAGATTTATGCCTTAAGCCACTACACCATAAATGCCCTGTTGCAACATATAATCAAAGTGTTGCCCTCGAGTGTTGCAATAGGTTAGCCAAAAATTGAATCTATAGTAACACATTTAGAAAAGCGTTGCATTAGATATGAATATGGATTTTTGATATACTTGTTGCAACATTTTTTCTATTTTTATGCAAGAGTGTTGCAAAAACGAATAGGATAAACTAAAAATTTTCCCCATTTTGTCTCACTGTAGCTTAATTGTTTGATATTTTTTTTTGTTTGGCTTTTACTCTCTCTCTCGTCACTCTCTCTCTGTCGACTCTCTCAGTCTCTCCTCTCTCACCGTCTCTCTCGGTCTCTCTCTCGGCTCTCTCAGTCTCTCTCTGTCTCTCTTTCGGTCTCTCACTACCGTTCAACGTCATCGGCATTGCAGAGGTGACTTTCACCACGTCTCTCTCTCCGTTCAGTGTCATCGTCGTTGTCGCAGCGGCTGTTGTGTGGTGTGTAGATGTTGGACGGACGATTAGGTGAAGCTTCCTTCCAAGGACCCCAAGAAGAAGGACGATAAGGAGGACGACGATTTAGTGAGTTACTTTTTTCTATTTTTACAGTCAATTTCAAGTGACGTTAGGGTTTTGTCCGTGTATGTTATCGAATTTTTTTTTTTCTTGTTCTGTTTTGATTTCGAGTTTTTTTGGGAGATTGAGGTTGATTATATGCTTCTATTGACGGAATCTTGTGTTCGAATTGAAGTAATTGCTAGTGGAAGTTAGGTTCTATTCATGTCCAAGTGCATCAACGCAATGAAATTGATCTGAATGTTTCAGTTGTGCCATCAATTCATGTCCAAGTGCATCAAGGCAATGAAAAATCTTGTGTATGGCATGCTGCTGACTTTCCTGATGGAGAATTAAAGAATGAGCTTTTCTGTATCAGATTTGCTTCAATTGAGAGTATGTTCCCTCCATCCCTTTCTATTTGCTTGCTTGCTGGCCTCCATTCATCCATACAGTTTCTGATTTGAGATTTCTTTTGTTGAATTATACCTTTTGGTTGGCTAAGTGTTTATGTTCATTGCATTTTTCCTGTTCATTTTTTTTCTGTGAATACTGGCATGATGCCCTCATTGTCTTATGTAAGGGGCCATGTGTTGTGTAGTTTGTTTCACCATCGCAGGAATTCCTTATATGCATTTTGCCTAAGAAACTAGGTGTTGTATTATGTTAAAAATTAATTTGGTTATTTGCATTTGTGTTGTACTATTCTCATACTTGATGAAAACATTCTGAATGCGTGGAAGTACTCAGAAATTCCTAAGAAAGATATGATTGACCAATGAGCTTCTGATTCTGGTTAAATCGCTAAAATTTCAATTTCTTCACAAAAGTGTATTGGTATTTTTAAGGTTTCTTATTTGGCTTTTGTATTTGGCTTTTACTTTGGGCACGGGGACAAGCAGGGGATTCTATTTAATAGGAACTGAGATGCTCTACATAAATAGATTGTTAGAATGGTCATGTCATTTTTTTGTTATTTGGTTCTAAGTTGTGAAAAGTTGGTCAATTTATTTATATATTTTCGTAAGATAATGAGAAATTCTTGCTCAAGCTTAAGGATCGAATTGATCAGTATGGCTTCATGATTAGTAATTTTTTTGTTTTGCTCTCTGCTGTTTATGTGTTTGATTATACGATTATGTGAATACAGAGTTGGAATTCCTATGCCGAGTATTAAAGTTCGGTTTGAACATTTGTATGTTGAAGCTGAAGCTTATGTTGAAGCAGAGTGTTGCCTTCATTGTTCAACTTTTCTGTTAATACTATAGAGGTATAAAAAGCTTCTGTGTATCTGTTACATAATCTACATTTGCCTTCCATTTTAACATTACTTGCCATTATGTACTTTTTGTTTTTGAAGGGATTCTTAAATTATCTTCACATTATTCCCACTAGAAAGAAACAATTAAGAATCCTTAATAACATTAGTCGCATCATCAAGCCTCAAAAGTAAGTTCAACTTGATTGATTAGCTTAAGTGCTGAAAAATCTGCTACTGTTCACAATTTCCTTTTCCAATAGTCTAATTTTGAATTTTGCAGGCAAGACCATGTTTCTTTTGGCTTTGACTGGAAAACTTAGTAGAGATCTAAAAGTAAGGGGACAGGATTAGAGGGACATGGTAGTTTTTTTTTTATTATTGGAACCCGTTATGGTTAGTGACATTCTATTATTTAGTACTGTAAATTTGAAGGTGTTTAACTAATATTTTTTAAAATTTGAATTTATGCAGTTGTTGCAAGAACTATCAAGAAGGAAAAAGGCAGCAAATATTAACTATCAAGAGCTATGAGGGAGTCTTTTATAATTACTTTAGCATAGGTATTTTAACATGATTTCTTGAAATGGTTGGTGAAATTTTATTTCCGTGGCTTCTCAACCGTGGTTAAAATTATATTCTTATATATTTCAGTTAGTGTTTGTAGAGAAGTCTATGATCCTCCTTTTGTGTCACAGAAACTCTATTCTTGTTTATCGCTTTTTGAGTGTTTATTTATTCCATGTACTTTTGGAGTGTTTATTTATTCCATGTCTTTGTTTAATAAATAGAATTCTTCTGGGAAATGATTACTTTTTCTGGTCTATGGCTAGGTGTGCCAGCAGCTGCTGGCACTTTAGGTGTGCCAGCAGCTGCTGGCACTTTAGGTGTGCCAGCAGCTGCTGGCACTTATTTTTTTATTTGCTGAAAACTTTATATTTATGGTTAATTATGGGAACTAATTGTTTAATGTTACAGTCAGGTGAGAAATAATTAGGTGGTACGCAGAATATTTGGACTAATGTTGTATTCATTGGAATTTTTTGTTTCTTTTTACTTTTATTCACTTAGCTAATGTTCTTTTAATGGGATCCATGTGATACAAAAGGCACGAGTAAGAAATGAACTTTATTTGAGGCATTCAATTGGTGGTTGAATTAAAAAATGTTCATATTAATCACTGAAATGTTGTTTATGATGTTGGATATGAATTCCTGAGTAGTAATGCTAAATTCAACACTTCTGTTTGCTGTATAATTTGAAGTAAATTGCAGAATTGTAAGTCTGTGTCATAGGATTTTATAGTTTATTTCAAAAAGAAAAATTTTCATGACGACTTCTTTTTTTTGTAGTCTACAATCCAAGATATGTGCTCATCTGGACTACACAGTGAAAGTGTCGAGCAACTTCTTTCTGGTGATACATCTCACGGATCATCTTGGCTTATTGGTAGGCGTGTATTACCTAAGAAATCAATGCAGCCAGTGAAGTCGGCGGAAGACATTTCCAATGAGTACGTTAATGAGTTGACGGACAAGATTAGAAGCCAATTGCAAGTAGAAGTTGAGGATACAGTGAACAAGTAGATTTGGATATATTTTGTTGAAGTATTAGGTGTTCGGATTTGGATACTTTGGGTACTTCTATGTTTTGTGACTGTATTATGTATTTTTGGATACTTTGAATATGTTTGTTTAGATACTATTACTAGGTGTTTGGATTTATAAAAAAAGATGGCATTTTCTATTTATATTATTGTAAAAAAGTGTTGCAATAGATAATAAAACAAAAGAGTTTTTATCCATTTTCACTATGAAAGTGTTGCAAATGCTTCAAAAAAGAGTTGCAATTGAAATGAAACAGTATCAAAAAGCGTTGCAATTGAAACGAAACGGTCTAAAAAAGTGTTGCATTTACATGTATAAGTGTTGCAATTTCTATCTAAAGTGTTATTAAAAATTGTTGCAAAAAAGTACAAAAGTGTTGCAAATGTTAATCAAAACGTTACAATAAAAGTGTTGCAGTTGTACATAAAAGTGTTGCAATTGTTGTCCAAAACGTTACACTTTGTTACGCTTTTACCGATTGGCAACACCCTAATTATGTTGCCAAAGGCCATAAAAGTGTTGCCACTGACACCTGTTGCAACATTTTTTATGTGTTGCTAAAAATATATAAAGTGTTGTCAAAGGGTACCTATGGCAACGGCAAAAAAACCAACACTTTTTTTAAGAAAAGTGTTGCCTAATCTTCTATGGCAACATTTTAGCAGCTTTAGGCAACACTTTCAAGGGGTTGCTACAGGCAATTTATGGTGTAGTGAGCAAAGCTTTGGGGCCACTACATAAAAGTCAAAATCGTAGGAACAAAATCAAAGAAAAGAAAATAAATCAAACCCACCAATAATCAACATATTTAATGCTAAAATAAATGATTAATGGCATAAATCCCATTTAATATGAATTAAATAGCAAAATGGCTCAAAAAAGGTGAACCAAAAGGGAATAAGAAAAGAATAACATATGCATATAATGCTCAAAATGAAATCAAAATAATAATGGTAATAATAACATTTATATACATATTAGACCAAAAATCACATAATATACACAAATAAATGAACATAAATAGAAAGAGATGAAATTATACCCAAAAGCAAGTGTAGAATCCTCTCTTGAAGCAAAGGAGATGAGAAGAGTCAAAAACAAGTTTAAAACTAACAAATTAAGTGTTTAATTTAGTTTTAAGGTTAAAAGTATTCTGTTTACAATTCTAGAGAGATTTTCGCAGAGTTTCGTTACTTAATTCTTGCCCCCGAACACTGTTCTCGAGGTCTCAATTTATAGGCCTCGGGTGATCATAGATAAGTCGTGCGGCTTATAGAGATAAGCTGTGAGGCTTATAGATAAGCCGTGCGGCTTATAAATAAGCCGTGCGGCTTATCAGGTGAGACGGTGTGTCAGAAAAATGGCCAAAGCGAAATAGTACGAAAGATAAGCCATGAGGCTTAACTGAGGGACACGCGTCCCAAAAGATAAACCGTGAGGCATATGTATATGCCGTGCGGCTTATCTCTTGGTTCTCAGAAGCTTCACAAAAATTGAGGTGCCACATCAGCAATCCTGGCAGAAGATAAGCCGTGAGGCTTATGATAAGCCGTGCAGCTTATCTACCAAAAATGCAATCTCACTTAATTTTAAGTGAAATGACTTTGCATAAGGTCCTCGAAGAAGTCTGTTCAAAAAGAAACGGAAAAGAGCCAAGTTCGTGACCTGAATACGGACCACGAACGGTGCCAAAAGGCATCGTGCTCACAGCTGCCCCTCGTGTGGGAAACACGGGTCCGAACAAGTCATTGTGCGGCTCGTGTTGGTCGCACGATGAAAGCACGGGCCAGCCACAAAGGTTGTAGCGTTATACCTGTTCTCGGGGACCGATCGTCCGAGGATTGCTGGTAAATGAGGCTTGATGGCCCAGAGTGTGCTTTGGGTTGCTCGAGGCTGACTGTTTTTTCCTTTGCTAATTTTGTAGAAAACCCGAGGATCGAAAGCCTGCTCGGTTGCTGAAGATTGCCTGAGGCTAACTAAATCTACCTTTGCTGATTTGTAGAAAACTCGAGGAACGAAAGCCTGCTCGGTTGTTGAAGATTGCCTGAGGCTGACTGGATTTGTCTTTGCTGATTTATAGAAAACCCAAGGATCGAAAGCTTGCTCTGTTGCTGAAGAGTGCCTAAGGCTGACTGGATTTGCCTTCGCTGATTTAGAGAAACCCGAGAATCGAAAGCCTGCTCGGTTACTGAAGATCGCTTGAGGATGATTGGATCTACCTTCGCTGATTTGGAGAAACTCAAGAATCGAAAACCTGATCGGTTACTGAAGATCGCCTGAGGCTGATTGGATTTGTCTTCGCTGATTTGGAGTGACACAGGGTCTTGAGGGAGGATTTTCAGGGCTTTTGAAGGCTCAATTGTGCTTTTGAAAGCTCGATTTGGTCAATTTTGAGGATTTTGAGTATTTATCTCGGGATAATCTGGGGCTCGAGGGCCGGATTTGGATGAATTTTGGGCAATTTAGAGCTTTTGGGGCCCAATTGAATTTTCTGGCATAAATTTGAAAGTTTTAGGCTGAAAAGGAAATTTTGCAGGTGGAATACGCGGAGACACCTTGAAAAAGCGCGGGATAAGCCGTGAGGCTTATCTCAGTAAGGCGGTTTAAAAAGATAAGCCGTGTGGCTTATCAGGCCTGGAGATAAGCCGCACAGCTTATCTCGAATTTCTATAAATTCTGCCGTTTTTCCAGCAGTTTTCGTGCCTTCTCCTTCTTCTTTCCTCTGACTTTCTCTGTATTATTTGCCTTAATAACTTCGCATTTCTGCTAAAATGCTAAAAACCAGCGGGAAACACAACCGTCGCCCGACTCCTGCACTGGTACCACCAGCGAAGGGGGCTGAGGCTCTAGCCTTTCTGTCAATTGGCGAGATGTACGGCCTGAGGGCTGACGAGGACTATAGAGGCCTTCATCTGGGGGACGTGATTCCTTCGAGCCTGCGCCCACACGAGCACTCGCTCAATTTTCCGGTATATTTTCTGTGACTTTCCTTTAACTAGGACTGCCTGCGAATAAAAAGAACAATTAGAGTTTATCCTTTTGCATGCGAACTTTAGGAAATTAGGATTAGAGACCTTAAAATGTGTTTTATTCCTGTTTATTTTTAAATTATTATTCTATGTGATTTTGCATGCAACATATTTAATAAATGCCATATATGCTTTATTTTATATTTGTTATTATTATTATTATTATTATTATTTTTTATTAAATGAAATGATGTGATTTATATGTGCTATTTATTTAAAAAAGAATATAAAATGACTGAGGAATAAATTTTACAAAAATTAAAACTTCCATGAACTTTGTGTAGGGTCGTCCCCTGCACAAGACTGCCGGGAGCTTGCAGGATGTCCGCAAGTTCTACGACCGTCTTTTCGAGGCCGTAAAGGCCTTGGTCGACCAAACTGGCCTTGGTACCTTCTTTAGCCATCTACGGGTGGCCGCCCCCCGCTCTTCTCCTGAGGTCACTGCTGCACTGGTGGACCGGTGGTCCGATACCACTCATACCTTCCACATGGCTACCGGGGAGTTCACCATTACTCCCGTCGACTTTGCTGCACTCACCAGACTCTCGTTCACGGGCACGGTGATCCACTTCAATTGCGTGTTCGAGTTGTCTGGTCGAGATCGAGATATGGTCAGAGAGTTGGTTGGGGTTGTGAGAGCTGACGGTTCGCTCCCGGCGAACCACTTGCGAGATTACTGGCTAGGGAGAGTTAGAGAGGTGCTTGAGGACGCTGATGTGCGGAGATTTGCTAGAGCTTTTTTGTTATTCGCCTTGACGAAGGTGTTGTTCCCTAGGGTGAACAGCGAGGTGTTTTGGGCTCTTCTTCCTAGCCTGGTTGATTTAGCTGTTGTTTCCACTTTGGACTGGGCCAGAGCAGGGCTGGCTCAGATGTACTACGCCCTGGACTTGTGCGCTCATGAGCAGCGCAAGGATCTGCTATGCTCCCCTGTTCTTCTTCAGGTTAGAAAACATTCTCTTTTGATATTCTGATTCCTTTATACTTCAATCAATACGCTCTTGACTTGATGTTATTCCGTGTAGGCGTGGACCTATGAGCATGGCTTCCTTCCTCCTCCAGTGAGGAAGGATGCTGCCAGCTACCCAGGGTTCCCCAGGATCACTTCCTGGATGGTATCCTGGACGGATGTAGAGACCAGCCTGGAGGCTGCCAGACGACGCTTGCTTGAGTTCACACAGACCCAGGTATCCGTCTTCACTTCAGATTTCTCTCTCCTTTGTGACAAAGGATTTACTGACTCGCGCTTGTATCAGGACTTTTCTTCACCTTGGGGACCTACTGTTGAGTGGTCAGAGGCCATGACTGCTTCAGCTCGATTAGTAGGATGCCGCTTTCTGATGGAGTCCCCTATGGCTTTAGTGTGGTATTTCGTGGAGCGAGTCATAGATTGCTACGACATCCCTGTTATCCGGCTCATTCCTCCTCACCTGCCCACTTGTCTGTTCTGGACTTCTTCTATACCAGCTGAGGAGCACCCGGACATCACCGGGGATGGGTACTAGCGGTGGAGAGGCGTCGAGTCGAGACTTTAGAGGCGGAGCTTGCCCAGATGCGACATCGAGCTGACAGGCGGTGGGCCGAGCGAGGCGGTGTCCCCAGCCCGAGTTCTACTTCCGAGGACGAGGTCGATGAGTAGGCTAGGGTTGCCGGTTGTATTTTGACTTTTGCTTTTTCTTGTTGATGATGTACAAACCAAACTTGCTTGATATATGAAACATTTCTTCCTTATTTGTAATATCCCGACTATTTATCAGTATAAGTTATATTTTAGTTCCGATATTATTTTTCGGAATTAATTATTTTCAGTTATTTCAGTCAAAATTACCGGAAAATATTTTCGACGTACCATTTACGTCCGGAATAATTTTGGTAATTAAGAATTATGTTTGATCGTATAATTAAACATAATTAAGGGATTAAGTGTTAATTAATCCAAGCTTATTGTTAATTGTCGTGCGTGTGTGTGAGGAATTGTCCAAGCATCTTTGCTATTCCAAGCCCTTAATTGCCGAGCGGTTTTGTCAAGTAGCATGTTGGTGTCTTGCTCATGAGATGCCTTCCATTTTTGTCCTATAGCCGTGTGTTGGGTGAGTGGTTGTTATGTCCAAGACTCTTGTGTAACCGCGCGGCCTTGGTCCAAGATTCTCTCCTTTTTCCGTGCGGTTTGAGACAAGAAAGCTTTGGCATCATCATGCATGAGTGCCATGTGTCCAAAGCTTTGACCATCCTTGCTTTCCCCCCCCCCCCTCATTGCGTTCGGCCGCCCATAAGTAAGGATTTGGAGAGATTGTTCCATCTTCTTTCCTCTCATGTTCTACGTGCCGAGATATAGAGAGAGCTGTGAGGATTTTATTTGAGCGTTATCTTTGAGCAATTGCCGAGAGTCCCACACACATCGCCGTAACCTATCGCCGAGCTATCGCGCGCACGGCAAGCAGTCGCCGCACCGCAAGCCAACGCACGCCCGCACGCAGAAAGTCACGGCCAAGCACGGGAGTTCGAGAGTTTAACCTCCGGAGCTTATCAGAGGTAAGTTCCCGTCGTTTGTAGACCGAGCCTATCATGTTCATTTAGTTCGATTCTCCCGTTTGGGCATGCATGTGTAGTGCCGTGCGAGAAGTCGTAGCCTCGCCCCCATGTCATGTTATAATTTGTATTCTCCAAACCATTCTTGCATGTTTAACTTTTATTTGCAATATCATGTTTAGATTAGCTTAAATGTTCGGATAATTAGTCATGATGGTAGTGCCTTGGCCGAAGGGTTGTGGTCGCACACTTAGTGCGCACCACGGGCCACTCGCATGTTATTGCATGTTAAATTCAAACCTTCGACCATTATGTATTTTTATGTTCAGTAAATCATGTTTAAGTTCAGTTATATTTGAAATGTTCGGATGACAAGTCATGGTAGCAATGTTACGGCCAAGGGTGACGTGGTTGCGCACGTAGCGCACCACGGGCCGTACTTCTTGCTCGTTATATTGAGTTCATTATTCTCGTGCATTTTCATGTGATAGATTCAGTAAATTATTGAGCATTTTCAGTTTGGTTAGAATTGCCGAGATAAGTTGAGGTTCGGTCGAAGAACGGCACCACGCCGTCGGCGGTGCATGGCACGCCCGCCGCGGCCATAGTTCAAGCCCATGTGTGAATCTTCATGTTTTCAGTATTTATGTGTTCATATGTTCATGTCATGCTATTAGAAGTCATTTTGTTCGGGAATTGTTGTCGGATGGCCGGCAAGGGCCGGCCGTGGCCGCGCTGTCCGCACGCAGCGGCAGCAGCGCGCCCGGCA